TATCGATACTTGTTCTTCGTTTTGGGAAAATTCGTGAGTTTCTGAGCAAAAGTATCAATACTCTTTCAAGAGTATCAAAACTAGGCATAACAAAATGTTTAAAAGTATCAGTGCTTATATAAAGTATCAAAACTTTTGCTGGAGTATCGATACTCTTGGGCTAATATCGATACTTTTAGTATATTTTGGCCAAAACGTTTCCCGAGATGCCCTAGACCCATAGTATGACCATAAATGAGATTGAATAGGTGTAAAACACTAGAATAAGTTCTATAGAAGGTGTTTAAAGTTGGGTTAAAATGGATGAAATAGTTGTAGGGGTATCGATACCTTAGGGTATCGATATTGTAGAGAGGGTATGGATACTGTAAGGTCAGTATAGATACCAAGGGTATGGTTTGAGCTTTAAAGCACGAGTAAGTGTAAAGGCAAGCGAGGGTATCGATATTGTAAGGCCCGTATCGATACCCAGGTTGAGAAAAGGTTGAGAAATGAGCTTTAAGTCAAGAGAAAATATAGAGGTAATTGAGGTTTCCCAAAAGCTTATAATTTCTCTCAAATAAGACTGCAAGTAAGAACATTTATTAATCTTTAATCCAAACATAGAAACAATAATAAAGTAAGATCAAATAAGACTAGCCTTGCTTGAATGCTTGGGAAACGACCAGGACACCCGAGTTCCTTTAGAAAAGATAGCAGAGTTGAAAATATAGTTTCAGTCTAGATATCCTTAGGGAGTGCGCAAGGCACTTAAAACTGCCTAGTTTAGGCGCAAGGTCCAACACTCAAGGAGTGGGCTACTTGAGAATTTGGTGTCCGATGCAAAAATTTTGGGGGCCATATTCTCAGTAGATTAGAGGGGTGTATGAGCTCCGAGATGTAGAATCCTCAACCATACCATGATGTCTACCATAAAGTAGAGAGTGAGTATACTCACTAAAGCAAAGCAGAACAGATAACGTCTGACTTGATAGCTTGAGCATTTCAGTGATGTATAATTAATATGATTTAGTTGTTAGTGTGACACCAAGCTAGTTAGCTCAACCTTCGGATGTTTCCGTTGGCAGGTTAGTAGATCAGCTAGTTCGAGAAGATTTAGAGTGACCGAGGTCTAGATCTAGTGCAGAGCAGAGTATGTCATCAAGTTTCTTAAAGTGTATGTATATTCATAAACCCAGTTGTAATGTATTAAGTTGTAAAATCAGTTATGAGTGAGTCTGTATATTTTTGAAAAATATTTATTTATTTATTTTGAGAGCTCTCCGATGTGACAAGTTTTTATTATATTATTTTTAGTTGATTTTATTAAAATTATTACCTTAAAGTCAGAGAAGTAGAAAAGAATAAGTTGGTTAGTCACTTCAGTGGCTCCGTGTAGCACCTTAAATCAGTCGACTGTGTATCGTATTGGTCTAGGACGTTACATTTATTGGTATCAGAGCATCAGGATTGATGTTCTTAGGGCTCGCAGGTCAGTGTCAGTAAAGAGTTTATGAGTATACATGCCCTAAATAGGTATGTTGTACTTTTGTATCTGCAATAGTAGAGAGCTGAGGCCACAATAGAGAGGGTAGACGTGAGATTATAGTTTTCCTAGCAGGTGATTCTAGCGATAGGAGTTTCAAGAGTAAGTTTCAATGAATTAAGCTTAGAAAGAAAGACAAGATTAAGATAGTAGAGTTTAGTGAGAAGTCAATAGTTTAAGGATCGTGCCAACCATTAGGGCACATAAGGATTTCTCTAGAGAATGTTTCGTGAAGGAACCATGAGGTTGAGGAAGCACTTGGTTAGCATAGATAAGTATTAGATCAAAGTTGCGCAGCAGAAGCCTAGAGGTCGACTTTAGTAGAAGAGTTGGCAAGTGCCATAAGGTCTTAGAGTTGTCTAAACCCAGTGGATAAAAGAGGTTATCAGGCTGTGTTGTAAGTTAACCTGATTAAGTAAGGATAGTAAAGAAAAGATTTAGTATTAGCAGTGAGTTATAGAGTGCCATAAGCTTTCCCAGTTCAAGTTTTCAGCCCTTAGAGTTAGATGTTCTAGTAGTCAAGATCTATCATAGATGCCCAGTAGAGTTTTAGAGTGAGACCTTTCTCTAGGGAAATTTCGATGACGATATTTATTGTAGAATGTGAGAGTTGTAATGCCCGAAACTTGGGTCAGTAGTTTGGGTCAACCTGAGACCTTTAAGTCAAGCCAATTAGACTTCCAAAGATAGTTGAACCAGGTTATATATGTATTGAGCTTAAGTAAGGCCCAAGGGTTAAGGGTAAGTGATGGTTTTAAGTAAAGGTAAAAAGGAGATGGACCAAAAATGTAATAGTTGGTTTTAAAGGTTATAAACCCCCTTTATTTAGCTAGATTTCACGGGAACCTTCCACAAAAAATATCTCCCATCTTTCCCCTTCTCTTCTTATTTCTTCTTCATTCCCAAGAGAAAACAAAAAGATAAAAATTTCTTGAATCCCAAACCTAGTTTGAAGAAACCAAGGTAAGAATCATATTCCTCATCCCTTAAGCTTCATTCAAGCCCTTAATCTTTAGTTTTAGGTGAGATTTTAGAAAATTGGTTTTTGGGAGTTGAGAGAAATCAAGTGTTTTAAGCTTGTTTTTTGGTAGATTTGAGTTGTAAGAGTTGTATTCAAGCTTAATCTAGCCTCTATTTGAGTATTAATTCATTACCTTGTTTGGTTTAGTTAAAGAGGTGAAAAAGAGTTTCAAAGCAAAGGATGAAGGTAAGGTAAATCCTAGTTGATTCAAAAGAAGTTTAGCAACCAGGAAGACCATGTAACACACTTAAAACTTCCTCATATAAGTTGTAGATCATTAGAAATAAGCTTTAGCTAGAAAGTTAAGATTTTAGCTTGAGAATTATGGTTGAAGCTTGTTGAGTATAATTTAATGGTAGATTACATGATTTATGTTATGAGCATGATATAAAGCCTTGTTTGTCTCCTTGTAATCACATAAGACTTTAAGAATGTTTGGGGACCTCAATAGGGTCTTTGGGATTGAAATATAGCATTTTCTTATGTGTTTTATGACTTTTGCAGGTAGCGTATTGATACTATAGGGATAGTATCGATATTTGTTCTTCGTTTTGGGCAAATTCGTGAGTTTCTAGGCAAGAGTATCGATACTCTTTCAAGAGTATCGAAACTTTGGGTCATAGTTTCGAAACTCCCAGAAAGTTTCGAATTTGAAACTGGGTAGAACATAATGTTTAAAAGTATCGGTACTTATATAGAGTATCAGAACTTTTGCAGGAGTAATGATACTCTTAGGCTAGTATCGATACTTTCTGTCTGTTTTGGCCAAAACATTTCTCGAGAGACCCTAGACCCATAGTATGACTATAAATGGGATCGAATAAGTGTAAAACACTAGAATAAGGTCTATAGAAGGTGTTTAAAGTTGGGTTAAAATGGATGAAATAGATGTAAGGGTATTGATACCTTAGGGTATCGATACTATAGGGGGGTATGGATACTGTAAGGCCAGTATCAATGCCAATGGTATGGTTTGAGCTTTAAAACACAAGTAAGTGTAGAGGCAAGCGAGGGCATCGATATTGTAAGGCCAATATCGATACCCAAGTTGAGAAATGAGCTTTAAGTCAAGAGAAAGTATAGAGGTAAGTGAGGTTTCCCAAAAGCTTATAATTTCTCTCAAACAAGACTACAAGTGAGAAAATTTATTAATGTTTAATCCAAACGTAGAAACGAGAATAAAGTATGATCAAATAAGATTAGCCTTGTTTGAATGCTTGGAAAACGACCAGGACACCCGAGTTCCTTTAGAAAAGATAGCAGAATCGAAAGTATAGTTTCAATCTAGATATCCTTAGGGAGTGCACAAGGCACTTAAAGCTGACTAGTTTGGGCGCAAGGTCTGACACTCAATGAGTGAGCTAGTCGAGAATGTGGTGTCCGATGCAGAGATTCTGGGGGCTACATTCTTGGTAGACTAGAGGGGTGTGTGAGCTCTGAGATGTAGAACCCTCAGTCGCACCATGATGTCTGCTATAGAGTAGAGAGTGAGTATACAAGTATACTCACTAAAGCAAAGCAGAACATATCAGTAGACCATATAGCGTGAGACTTGATAGCTTGAGCATTTCAGTGATGTACAATTAGTATGATTTAGCTGTTAGTGTGGCACTGGGCTAGTTAGCTCAGCCTTCGGATGTTTTCTTTGGCAGGTTAGTAGATCAGCCAGTTCGAGAAGATTTAGAGTGATCGAGGTCCTGATCCATTGCAGAGCAGAGTATGTCATCAAGTTTCTTAAAGTGCATGTATATTCATAAACCCAATTGTAATGTATTATGTTGTAAAGTCAATTATGAGTGAGTCTATATATTTTTTAAAAATATTTATTTATTTATTTTGAGAGTTCTTTGTTATAACAAGTTTTTATTATATTATTTTATGGTTGGTTTTATTGAAATTATTGCCTTAAAGTCAGAGAAGTAGAAGAGAATAAGTTGGTTAACCACTTCAGTGATTCTGTGTAGCACCTTAGATCGGTCGACTATGTGTCATACTAGTCTATGATGTTACATCTATTAACTTCGTTAATTTTTTTTATTTTAAACTAATAATTAAATTTTAATAGACATTTATTTATATTTATATTTATCTTATAAAATTTGATCACAGCTCTATCCCCACACTTATCAAATCAAATAATCAGCGTGTCTACATCAACATGCACATAAACAAAATTATCTGTACATGTTAGTCTATATTAGTCCAAATAAAATAATATGTATCACGACAGTGATTCCTTAACGCTTGTTTATTTAGAAAATAAATAATAATATCTATTATCAAAATAAATATTATTTTTCAATGTTTATGCTTGATGTTACCTTAATAAATAATCTTCATGGGTATCTTATGTTCATAATTAATAGTAACCAAGCCATGATTATGGTGATAAATATTCTAAATTTATGATAGATGTGAGGAACTCTTCTCCTGCAGTGAAACAATCTCTAATAAATGGAGATCACTCCTTGGCTTGTTCTATCCCTAGCATTCCTAGCTTCTCTAGCCTTCTTCTCCGGAATTTTCATCGGACGGAGGCGCCGACAACTGAAGTTTCCGCCGGGTCCTAAACCATGGCCGATCATCGGCAACCTTGATCTCATTGGTTCCCTCCCGCATCAATCGCTTCACAAACTATCCCAATGCTATGGGCCATTGATGCACCTCAAATTTGGTTCTTACCCTGTAGTTGTTGCATCATCGCCAGGGATGGCTCAGCAGTTTCTAAAGCACCATGATCAAATCTTTGCTTCTAGACCCCTAAATGCAGCCGGCAAGTACACTACTTATAACTACAGCAACACCCTGTGGGCTCCGAATGGACCGCAGTGGCGCTGAGGCCGTAAAATTTTCCAGAACGAGGTGTTTAGCATGAGAAGACTCGAGTACTTCGAGTACATCAGAGTTGAGGAGATACATGCCTTTGTGTCTCGCCTGTATGGATCATCAGGGAAGCCGGTTGTGCTTATAGAGCACCTCTTGCGTGTTACTCTCAGTATTATAAGCATGATGGTGCTGGGAGATAAGTATTTCGGTGTGTCGAGCGATGATCGAATCGGATCGAATTCGGTACTGAGTCTGCCAGAGTTCCAAGAGTTGCTAAAGGAGTTTTTCTTGCTGAATGGAGTGGTCAACATTGGGGATTGGATACCTTGGCTAGACTGTTTGGATTTGCAGGGCTACATAAAGAGAATGAAGGCTGTGAAGGGAAAACTCGACCGTGTGTTGGACAAACATAAGAGAAAAAAGAAGGAATTATCAGAGAATTTTGTGCCACAAGACACGGTGGATGTACTGCTGCAATTAGCTGATGGTCCTGATGTTGATGCTAAGCTCACTAATGACAATGTCAAGGGTCTCATTGTGGTAATATATTTTGCTCATTCATTCTATTTTCCCTTTGAAACTGAACAATTATTCAATTTTTATTGACCGAAAACTATTGTTTTTAATATAATAAAATTATTGAATACATATAAGCTACATGATGTTTCAAGTCATAATCTGCATCAATTATTGCACCTTATGTTCATAATTAAAATATATGTGTATAGATGGACACATAATATAAATTTTATTACACGAAAGATATAGAAAATTGAACTCGTGATTATTTAAAAAATTTAAAGGACCTTCAAAAATAAATTAATTTTTTAATTATAAGATGAAAGGATCAAAATGAGATGGTATTGATAGTTTGAAGACAGGTATAGAATGTTTTAAAATTTAGAATAAATGGTATAGTTTAGGGTTTGATATAGAATGTTTTAAATTTTAGGGACTAATTTATAATAGGGTTAATAGTTTGGGACATCTCATCAATTAATTATTTTTATAATATATATATATATATATATATATATATATATATGCAAGAAAAAATATGTTATGCCACAGTTATGGTTATGGATATTCTATTTAAATCTTGAGAAGCAGAAATCACTCCCCACTTCCTGCATTGAACCCATCTCTAATCAATGGAGGCTCCTCCTTGGCTTGTTCTATCCATAGCATTGCTAGCTTCTCTAGTCTTCCTCTCCGGAATTCTCAGCGGCCGGCGCTGCAAGCAACTAAAGTTTCCACCGGGTCCTAAACCCTGGCCTATCATCGGCAACCTTAATCTCATCGGTTCACTCCCTCATCAATCTCTTCACGAACTATCCCAACGATATGGGCCATTGATGCACCTCAAATTTGGTTCTTACCCTGTACTTGTTGCATCATCTTCTGAGATCGCCAAGGAGTTTTTGAAGAGCCATGACCAAGTCTTTGCTTCTAGACCCCTAACTGCTGCTGGAAAGTACATTAACTATAACTACTCCGATATGGGGTTTGCTCCATATGGGCCACATTGGCACCAGGGCCGCAGAGTTTTCATGAATGAGCTGTTCAGTGCCAAAAGAATGGAGTCCTTCGAGTATATCCGAGTTGAGGAAATGCGAGCTTCTGTCTCCCGCTTGTATGAATTATCAGGGAAGCCGGTTGTTCTTGTTGAGCAGCTCACTCGTCTTACTCTCGGTATCATAAGCAGGATGGTGTTGGGAAATAACTGCTTCGATGTTTCCGGCGCTGATCGGGCTGTATCGAACTCGACAGTGAGTGTGGAAGAACTTCAAGAGATTATAAAAGAGTTCTTCATTCTGAATGGTGTATTCAATATCGGAGATTGGATACCCTGGCTAGACTTTTTGGATTTGCAGGGCTACGTAAAGCGAATGAAGGCTTTGAAGAAAAAACTTGACCGATTTCACGACTACGTTTTCGATGAACATGAGCAAAAAAGGAAAGAATTAGCAGAGGATTTTGTGGCAGGGGATTCACACAGGTAAAAATATTTTTTGTTCTTGAATTGACAGGTAACATAAACATTAGTGATAAATGAATATACGTAAATAATTTTCTCGTCGGATACTATAGGACCTGATAGGCGGGGGCACAGATACCTCAGCAATAACTATGGAATGGGCAATTTCTGAACTCATCAAACGACCGCAACTTCTCACGCAGGCAACCAAAGAGCTCGACAGAGTGATCGGAAGAGGGAGATGGGTAGAAGAGAAAGACATCCCACAGCTTCTTTACATAGATGCAATCATAAAGGAAACAATGAGGAAACACCCGGTTGCTCCTTTGCTAGCACCACACTTGGCCATGGAAGATTGCAAAGTGGCGGGATACGATATTCCCAAAGGAACACGAGTCTTCGTAAAAACCTGGAGCATCGGGAGAGACCCCTCGCTGTGGAAACAAGCTGAAGAATTCCTGCCTGAGAGGTTCCTAGGGAGGAACATTGATGTGAAGGGAACAAATTTCGAGCTGTTGCCATTTGGCGCTGGTAGGAGGATGTGCCCTGGCTACAACCTAGGATTAAAGATGATTCAATTGAACTTAGCAAATTTGTTGCATGGCTTCAACTGGAAATTGCCTGATGATACTAAAGCAGAAGATTTGAGTATGGAGGAAACTTATGGAATGACAACACCAAGGAAGTTTCCACTCGTTGCAATCATGGAACCTCGTCTCCCTCTTCATCTTTATAAGATCTGAATTCCACATAACTCCTTCTTCTTGATATCGTTGTATGTATTTCCACGTATAGGAATTTTACTGTGGTAGAACCCTAAATATCGTAACTAGTCCATAAGTGCTTAGCCGTCGATTCAATGATGCACATGAGATTAGTATTATACAATTTGGGTTGAGTGTATGTGTGCCATTTGATTTTCTGTTTGAAACTCATGCTTCTGACGTAGCTCAGATATCTTCCGGTAATCTAATATTCATTTTGCTTTAACGTGTTAATTCATCTTACTTGCTCACCACGTCTAAACCCACGTTTAATTACCCTTAAACAACTTCGATTTGTTCATTTCTTATTTGCTTAAACTTTTGAAATAAGTGTTTCATTAGCTGTTTGATTGTGAGATATATAAGTAGGATGGGCATGGATTGGATTGGGTAGGGTTTTCGGTCAACCCGACTTGATCCAAAAATTATATATCCTTCATCCGACTTGAAAAATATACACTCTCCACTCGACTATCCTTTTGAGATAAAATCCAAACCCTATCCAACCCAAAATAATATATTTATAAAAAATATTACTTTTATTTAATAAAAATATTACTTTTATTTAATAAAAAATAAGGTTTTAATTGAAAAATAATATACAGAGAGATCTTATTGCAATTATCTCTAAAAAATCCGTCTCGTCGAATTCGAATCTCGTACCAATCCCTATATATAAGATGTATCATGTTAAGGTTATGTTACAACCCTACTCTATAAGTGTTTAATCTCCCCAATTACTTCCAAATCCTTTTACCTCAATAAATAAATCAAATACTAACTAAAATATTTATAATATTATTGTGTGAAGTGAACTAAAATAATACCCTCGAATACGGATGCCAAACAATTAAACAGAAATAAACTATAAAATCACTAAACAAAATTTATACGTATCCCAAGATGAGCGGGAAGAATCAAACTAAACTGAACAGAAGCGATCAAGATCTTCTGGAGAGCGGTCCGGAGACACAAGTGTACCTTCAGAAAATAACGCCTAAAAGTGAGTCCAAAATCTCACATTTAAAGGAGTCGTTGTTGTTCCTAGAGGTCACGGGTTCAAGCACTAGCGGCTGTAGCAGGGTGATTGAGCGTTCATTGTTAAATGGTTGAGAGTATTTAGAACATATATTACTTCGTAATCACCTTAGCTTAATAAAAAAAATCTTACATTTTACTTACCATAAATATAACTTAAGCAATAAATAACATAAAAAATGGATTTCAGGTTCGAATTTGAAAAACGGAATGCGAAAACGAACTCATGATGTCGAAAAACATAAAGATATGAGTCTTCAGAAAAAGTCAATGAGTCAAAGTCAATAGTCAAAGTCAAACTCAGTGGTTAACGATCAACATCAACAATCAAAGTCTATAGTTAACGGTCCAGGTCAGGGTTCGATTCAATCAAATCATTTCAATTAGACCGATTCAGGGAGTTAGACCGGCAGAACGAAGCTCACTCGTGCACGACGACACGTGGGGTGCGTGTGGCCTCCTCCGGTGGTCAAAAAAATACGAAAAATTTTCAGAAAAAGATTTAAGGCACGAGGAGTTGTTAGAATTAGTGTCTTAGGCATATTGTATGGACATGATATTTGATTATTGGATTTTATTATTATCATTTGCATACAATTTTATTATAATATCCTTGAATAATATTGTTAATTGTTATAAATATCCCTAATCGATTATTATTGTGAGAACAATAATAAAAATAAGATTGGTATGAAATTTGATAGATATTCATGAGATGAATATGTGAATGTTCAAACCAAATTCATATGTATTTGTTGAGAACAAATATTGAATCGACTCGTTTTGAGATTAATACATGAATTAAAGTTTTATATTAATTTCAAAAAAGTTGTGTCATTAAATCCCTAAACCTGATATTACTACAATTCTCAACATAATGATTATACATTTTGGCATAATGAAACATTGTAATTAATCAGACAATTATAAAGGTTATGCTTGAACATGACATGAAACATGTAGTGAGATGTGAGTAATTAAGATGAAATTTATCCCTCTTAATGTAAAAGTGATATCTCAGGGGCCCTCAATGATTGAAACTGAAAAATGTATGGTCGTGCTTAAATGAGTTGATAGAGATCAATATCATTTATTTAATCAGTTCAATTGGGTATCGAGAAATTGAAGATAGAGCGATATAAGATTGACATTTTCCATGTCTTATATTCTATCAAGATATCTGAGATAAAAGGATTATGACATAAGTTGTATTAAGGTTGTATCAGATCATGAGCTTTTCATTTAACTTGGGTAGTTATAATGTCTTGCTATAGGCCACTTATGACTTGTACGATCAAATGTAATTTTATCTACTGCCAACTTTAACTGAACCTATATAGGGTCACACACTTAGAATGGATAAGAATGGTCGTGATTATTACTATAAATGATAATTTAAGATAATGAGATTATTTTAAATTATATTATAATATATTATTTATTATTCAAATTTAAATAAGTTAAATTCATATTACTTTTATAGAATATTTTGTTTATTATTATTTATTGATTTGATTTAGAAATAAAGTTAAATAAATAAAATAGTTAAATAATATTAGTATTTGGATGAATTTGATTTTCTTATCAGATAAGAAATATGTTATTATTTATTTAAAAGTGTTTTAAATTAAATATGATTTAAAAAAATCAGAGGATTAATTAACCCTAATTAAGTCATATATATACGTGATATATGATCAAGGTTAGAGGTTAATCTTCTACAGCCGTCCAAAACCAAAAAAACCCAAAAAAATAGTTTTATGAGAAAAAGCATTAGAACTAACACTCTATAACCAATCGTCGTTCATTCGCATGTGGATACTTGT